ACGATTACTCATTTATTTCAGTCCTTTCTATTCAGCATGTCTCTATCGAAATAAACCTACGTTTCTATGAAAATTGAAGCTTTTGTTGTTTTGAACTTGACTTTTGGACCGAATTATTTTCCTGTGGCAATAGTGGGGAAAAGGATTGAAATATGAGTGGTCACACTACTGCATCTGAACACAGCCCAGTTGTTTGGTCTACTGCCATGGCTTGGTGGCTGCTAGGCTGTCTGTGGTTTGGCTGAGAATGTCTGATGCCTGTGTTCCTAAAGCCACTCCGCCCCGTCTGGTGATCACTGTGCTGGTTTAGCTGTGAGGTTTCTTCCAGGATGACCCAGGTGCACCACAGATTGTAGCTACTCATTAGCAGAGTTCCTTCTGCTCGCCCCACATCAGCTAATTTCTCCCCATCTACTGAACTGCTGAGGGGTATAGCGGTCTATTCCGAATTTCAATGCCAAATTTGTAACATATTATATAGGCTTGCTGGATTCCTGAGGAATACAGAGAAAACTATTCAGTAAGTACTTACCTCCTAACACCTCGAATTACCGGTGCCCTTATTACAGATCATCCTGCCCCCACAGCTATCCCTGCCCTCGCCTGCCTTTCTGTTAGTTGGCTCCATTCCATCCACCTTCAAATAGTCACACGCCTCCTTATCTTGGGAAGTGAAATACACAGAAACACCTGTGCTTGACTGCTTTATTCTTCCCCTTCCCGAAAGTGTGGCCCAACTCCTCGCCTTCCTTTACTACCAGCTTCTCTACGTGCCGCATCTGCTCTTCCTGTTTCCTCTCCCCTCAACTCCCTCCTAAATAATAATCCAAATTATAAAGTACTTTCTTTTTTCCAGGCATTGTTCTAAATATTTAACAAATAGTAATTTCTTTTATTCTTTCAGGTTGGTACTAGGATCATCTCCTCTGGACAGATGGGAAAACTGAGGCACAGAGAGGTTGAGTAACTTGGCCAGGGCGATCCACTGGTACGTAGCAGAGCTTGGATTCAAATGCAGGCAGTCTGGTTGAGAATGTGTGCCGACAACACTTGACACTTCCGCACTGTCCCCACCTCCTTGCAACTGGATTTTGTCCCCATGACAGTAAAACTAGGCTCTTGGAAATGTTAGGTATTTACTGTCGGCTCTGATACTGCAATACTGATGCTAGATACACCTGCACTGCATGTGAAGATCTAATATTTGCAAGATTGTCCCTCTCTTGTTATACAAGATAACAAAACTTCATTAATCTGGAATGAACAAATCATTCTGATGAGGGCTGAACTAAAATTTATACTTTTATGATCTATGTTCTATGAAAAAGGGGTTACTTGGTCAAGGTAATAAGTAAACCATATGAATCAGCAGAGGCATAATTTGACTTACCCTAGGGGGGATAGGAATACTTTTAGAATGTTTAAATGCAAATTTAGCTTTCTGATGCCAAAAGAGTTTTGCCTGCTCCAGACAATAACATATATTCTGTACTTCTTGATTCCTGCCTTGAAGCAATGTGCAATCTAGAAGGGAAACTATTGAGATAATAGGAAAATGGCAGAAAATGGCATGTAATCATGCTCTGGAGCATAAATGGTGACTTTTGCCATCATCTAATTTGTTGGAATTTGCAAAGCATGTCCCGAGAGCTGGAGAGTTCTCAGGCACCATGCCAGCTGTCACCAAGAGGGTGGTGAGCCCTGCAAGAGTAAAAAAAAACTGCACCTTTTCAAGCTGAAAGGTGTCTTAGAGATCATGCAATCCACTCATTTATGGAGGAGGCTACAAGGGCAAGGTTATTTTTTACAGTCACAAAGCTAGTTGGCAGCAAATTCTTGTCTGGAATTCTGCTTCCTTATATTTTTCCTTATTTGTGTTCCATCATGAGACCCAATAGTTAATCTGTAGACTTGATCCACTTGTAATCACCCCTAGAGTAATACAGTTATTCAGTAAACATTTATTGAGAGAGAGAGACAGAGAGGTGGATAAATGAGCAGAGTGAACAAACATTTATTGAGAGAGACAGACAGAGAGAGACAGAGAGGTGGATAAATGAGCAGAGTGAAAAACGAAGATAGGTGAATGTGACCTGGCAGTTAAACCAGGCAGTGCATGAACTCCATGGGGACAGAGATTTTGATCTGTTCTTATTCACAATGCATTGCACCCTTATTGACCAGATCAGGCCTGCCACAATGCAGCATAATTACTACTTCATATTTTAAGGAACAGTTTCCTTGTGTTTTTACCTAGAGTGTCTGTAAGTGGGTGGATATTATTCCCATTTCATAGGTAAAAAGCATTAAAACTCTGAGGAGTTAATGTTTTGCTCATCTAGACCTAGAATCAAGACTAGAAATTAGGCCTTTGCCTCCTAATCCATTACCTAACTGTAAAAATATCTATTGCTTTCTAACTAAAACAATCAATTAGCTTATTATTCTGTATAAGGGATAAAGATAGACATGCAACCTTCAGCAAACCCTAAAGAAATGCATATGGCTGGCATCATTTCTGCCCCGGGTCCTGCTATCTCACACTAACTACAAGCGCTTCTTATGCTTCAGAACATGTCTTCCCTTCTTTGCTTTCTTCTCAGAGAAAGAAGAGTGGTAGCGAGTGCCTCTTCTAATGAGGGTCTTGATGGCTCTCCATGAGACTCTGAGCCGTTACAACAATAAAGGCTCTAATGTCTTACAACCTTCTCCTCAGTAGACCATCATCTTTTACAGCATTATTGTCCAAAATGACTGCACTGTAACCAGACTGTGTGGCCTGCCATACTTCTATTTAAATCCTTGTCTTTTTAAGGCATCCTACCTTTTCCCCCTTCTAAAACATTAAAATATATTCCAAAGAGAACAAACCTTAAATACAGTTAACACTGGTTTCCTCACAATAGGACAGATGGTAGAAACCCTAAGAATTTAGAGAAAGGGGAAATAAAGTGATTAGGGAAGGTGGGGGGATGAGGTTTCATAAAGAGGTACAGGGTGTGAAGAGAACTGGTAGGAGGAGGGTGAAGCTTGAGCAAAGACGGAGGTCTGAACAAGCAAGAGTCAGAGAGAGAAACAGAGCAAAGATGGAGGCCTGAACAAGCAAGAGTCAGAGAGAGAAACAGAGCAAAGACGGAGGTCTGAACTGAGACTGGGTAGAGCTGGGCATCAACTGGGGCAGCAGAACTATGACCACACTCAGACGCGTCTAAGACGTTGACACAATTTGGGGGGATTACAAACTAAGGATTAGTAGCCAAAACCCGGATGCAGGAGGAAGGGTCCAATATTAAAAATGCCTTCTGGGAAGGGCATCCCAGACCCCACCGACAGCAGTAGCTGCTCCAGGCTCTGGCTCCCATGGAACACTGTCTGCACCTCCACTGCAACTCTCACCATTCCTGGCACCTCTGCTCTCATGTGTGGCTCCCAGGAGATTCTGAGAAGCTTGAATATCAACATTAATATGTAAGTCATCCCATGAATTGTCTTTATTTCATCCTACAAAGTAACGGGGTTTGGGGATGTTTTCCCTTCAAAATTCTGACCAACATTATAGAAATGAAATAACAGTTTCTCAATACCCTAAAAGTCTCGCTAGTCTTTTATGGGGAATATACAGAGGCAGGGGTATTTTGACTGTAAAATGCTTCTCTGTAAGAAAGTCTGTAACAGTTTCTTCCATGGCATTTGGTAACATGTTTAGATACTATACTT